GTCTCTGCTTGTACAACATGGCAAGTTGCTCACAAGCCAACTAACAAGTCTCTGCTTGTACAATATGGCAAGTTGCTCACACGCCAACTAACAAGTCTCTGCTTGTACAATATGGCAAATTGCTCACAAGCCAACTAACAAGTCTCTGCTTGTACAATATGGCAAGTTGCTCACAAGCCAACTAACAAGTCTCTGCTTGTACAATATGGCAAGTTGCTCACAAGTCAACTAACAAGTCTCTGCTTGTACAATATGGCAAGTTGCTCACAAGCAAACTAACACGTCTCTGCTTGTACAATATGGCAAGTTGCTCACAAGCCAACTAACAAGTCTCTGCTTGTACAGTATGGCAAGTTGCTCACAAGCCAACTAATACGTCTCTGCTTGTACAACATGGCAAGTTGCTCACAAGCCAACTAACAAGTCTCTGCTTGTACAATATGGCAAGTTGCTCACAAGCCAACTTACAAGTCTCTGCTTGTACAATATGGCAAGTTGCTCATAAGCCAACTAACAAGTCTCTGCTTGTACAATATGGCAAGTTGCTCACAAGCCAACTAACAAGTCTCTGCTTGTACAATATGGCAAGTTGCTCACAAGCCAACTAACAAGTCTCTGCTTGTACAATATGGCAAGTTGCTCACAAGCCAACTAACAAGTCTCTGCTTGTACAATATGGCAAGTTGCTCACAAGCCAACTAACAAGTCTCTGCTTGTACATTATGGCAAGTTGCTCACAAGCCAACTAACACGTCTCTGCTTGTACAACATGGCAAGTTGCTCACAAGCCAACTAACAAGTCTCTGCTTGTACAATATGGCAAGTTGCTCACAAGCCAACTTACAAGTCTCTGCTTGTACAATATGGCAAGTTGCTCACAAGCCAACTAACAAGTCTCTGCTTGTACAATATGGCAAGTTGCTCACAAGCCAACTAACAAGTCTCTGCTTGTACAATATGGCAAGTTGCTCACAAGCCAACTAACAAGTCTCTGCTTGTACAATATGGCAAGTTGCTCACAAGCCAACTAACAAGTCTCTGCTTGTACAATATGGCAAGTTGCTCACAACTAACAAGTGCACGTCTCTGTTTCTCGCCACTGTCAGGTACCAGAGCACCTTCACCCCAAGCTTGACTCGCGTTTCTTGCCAAAATGTCACGAGCACGAATTCCCCAGAGCCGACTATTGTTTTGTTTTATCTGAACGCGCCTGATTTTTCACCCACTCTCTGTTTTCTGGTTTCAGTGCATCCAACTGCAGCATATCTGTAACAGCGTTGCCAAATTGTAATGTGAGAACGGGTGTTACTGATAGCTGGCTGTAGTGACGCTACGAGGGTGGGACGTGAAGGGACAAAAGGTATGGGCCTTACGAAATGGGGGTAGGCTATATATACACATACACACACACACACACTATATATATATATATATATATATATATATATATATATATATATATATATATATATATATATATATATATATATATATATATATATAATGTTTTTTCCGTAAATATATAAAGCTAGACTATATTCTGATAACATAAGGAGCCCCGAATATTTTGTTTGTTTTGGACATCTCAGCCAGCAGCAGACAATGTTATCTCGTCTGGTTGTCTGTGTGACGTCAGTGGAACTCGCACATGAGTGGAGCATGGTTATCCTACTGGCTTTGATCCACCCTTTGATGCAGTCGTTGGTTTACTGACTCACTGCATATTTCTTTCATTATAAGAGTTAAAAGAAAAAAAAATAACAGCCCAAAATGCTTTAAAGATATTTCTTGACAATCAAATGATTAAATGACCCAATGATAATATACACATAAACAACAGAGTCTCATATAATACATGCCAATATAATTCTTTACTTGAAGAAAAGCTTCAACTAGTTTACGTCAACTTAAAACACCCAATACCATCTAGTTATGTGGAACATTAAACACCAAAATCTTACTTCAATTATTTGCTAGCAAATGTCGATGGACGTTTGCCACTTCATTCCTCCCCGCTCCACCCATCATATAACCTGTCTAATAATTTTGGACTTTGTTGATGAGTATACAACCCCCCCCCCCCCAACATGTCGAATTGCCAGATTCTGGTCGCTGAAATAATGTAGGGGTGGGGGGATGTTGTTTAGCGGCCCTAAAGCACTTTTAGCAAATGTCAGGAAACATGGCTTAATCTGGATGTGTCAGGGCTGTTTTTTAGGGGAGGATTGGGAGGATTGAGAGAAGGAGTGAGTGAAGGCCGAGAGAAACAAACAGAAAAAACTCGGTGAATGTTTGAGCATTGGCTATGGGCCAAACGACGAGGGCGTGACGCTATGTTTGCAGGTGAATCGGGAATTCCCCCACCCCACCCCCCTCTCTCTCTCCCGACAGAGCTTACTTTACAATGAACGTAAACTTGTTAACACTTAGCACATTTAAAGAAAACTTTAAAAAAATGTGTACGATAGCTCGTGATTTTGTACAACAGTAAATTTTATTGTATATGTGAAACAGTTGTTTTCTTACATTGGTACTAGGTTGCGGTTTTTAGAAATTAAATAATTAAAACAAAGTACATTTACATTAAAATAATTATTTTTGTTTACACAGTGTTTGCTTTACTGGATAGGAGGCTATTGATCTTAGACTTGTGGGAGGAGATTGCTTCTTCCACTTTACTTCCTGTTTTTTTAAAGGCTCCGCCATTGCGATCGATGATTGATAACGGGAGGGGGTTAATTAATGCTATTAAAATGGTACCTGGAGATCTTTATACAGAGCTGACTTCCAAAGACTTGGGTGCTTTTGGTTTCAAGAAAACTCACCGCGTGATATAGGCACGCTGTAGTTTTCTTGTGAACTTTTATAACCCGGTTTACGGTCAAAGGATTTTAAGTAAAGATCGGAATTTCGATTCTCTCCCTTGGGTTATTAGTTTGATTACCATAAAAGAATCATCCGACTCCGGGGTAATTATTGCATTAAGTGCTAATTGGAGCCGTCATTTATTAGCAACTAGAATACCCGTCATCCGTTGGATAACTGTGGGTTTCGGGGGTCATCCATCAAAAAACATCACGTCTGTCACTCAGAGGCATAGCGACCCTTCCCGGCGCCCGGGGACAAAGTTTTCGATTTTAACCCCCCCCCCCCTCAAACTTTTGATGTTTTTTCCAAACCATTTTGGCGCCCCAACATATGCCCCCCCCCCCTTCCCCCTCCCCACCCCCCGCCTCCCCTTCCCCCCCCCCCCCCGCCTCCCCTCCCCTACCGTCCCCCCCCCTCCTCGGTACGCTACTGCAGTGTCACTTATCGTCACAAAAAACAGACCCCACATTCAAATATATGTTTTTTATCTTTTAAAAACACCGAAAACACCGATTTCGGACTATCCCTTCATAAACTGACGTCACAGGTGACCTACTCAACTCTACTTCACCTGCCCAGTGTCCTGCCAAGTCTCAGACAACATGTTTTTATCGTTTAAAAAACAATTCCAGCCGAGCATGTCTCTGACCACACTATCCTTTCATATGCTTAGGACAAAGAAACAGATGAACTCTACTTCACCTGCCCTGTATCTTGCCAAGTTCAGATAGGCAACGTTATCATTCACATCTAAAAAAAAAAATTGAAAAAAAAAATTTCATTGACATATTGGTCTAGAACCCGTGCCTCCTGCATGAGAGCTGACTACGCTACCATTTTAGCTATTTACTCGTGACGTCACAAGGGAATTTTTATACTATACTATGTGTCTCCTTATGCAACTTGATTTACGCGTATAGATTCTAGATCTAGATCTAAAAATAAGTCTAGTAGTACTAACTTTCAAATTAAATTTTATCTTAAATAAGCCAAACAAAGATTTATATAAAATAATTAAGGCCTGAAATAGATTCTAGATGTAGAATTTACATTAAGTTTAGATCTAGAATTTACATTGAATCTAGTGACCTACATCTAGGCTAGATCTAGATCTAGGCTAGATTCATAAATTTCCTTCGATAGCTGATCTTTAGATCTAGAGAAATTTATCGTAAAACTAAATGAAAAAGACAGTTGAAAATTGATATAAGTGTTGGAACGTAATAAATACAGCAAACGGACGTATTGTTTAAGTTATAGCCGGCAGAAAATTAGCTTTGTAACGCGTTAAACTTTTGAATGGGCCACAAAGTCTATGATGAAGTCCGCCATTTTTATCGTACCAAAAAGTTAACATATCAAGGGACGTCACTATCCCCACAAAGTTTATTCAAAGTATTAACATTTTTTAAAAAATACGGTTAATTTAACTATGAATAAATCAATAAATTAATTAACGTCTTTAAATAAATTTGTGATTAACAGTCTGTCTGCATTAAAAAATTATTCTCTACCTACATACTATTTTACAGCTATCCAGATTGAGTCGAACATATCACAATAGTTGATCAGGCAAACAAACAAACAAACAAACAAAAAAATAAATATTCAAACATGTAAACAAACTTGACTTTTAGTAGTATATAGATATAGTTAGACCGCCGCTGCTGCCCTGTGTCTGGTCAGACAACCCAGGCTGGGAGCTGTGGGAGCTGGTCCTACAGCTAAGGAGAGCTGTGGGTTCACAAAGTTCACTGCTAGATTAGTCACCGGGCTTGGTCTTCCGTAGGAAACGTGAACAGGGAAATCATTATATTTATTACGTTTAGCTTAGAAAGAAAGCTTTCACCATTAAATTAAAAATAAAATTGTTTTAATTAGCGATGTTTTCAGTTCGCTAATTAATGCTACATCTATAAATAAAGCAATATTTTATGCTATTAATTATAAATTGTAGCGACATACTATTTATCGTATAATATACACATACAATTTAATTAATCACTCGCCTCTCGCGGCGAAATACTTCCGAAAACGAATCTCATTAAAGTGATGCCATTGTCATGTGTTAAAATAAAACATCAATAAAATATATGTACAACTTATTTTTTACACATTTGTTTAATCACCAGGTTCTGGAAAACAACAGACGATTTTTCCCCCCGGACTGGCGCTAATCTGTTCCCCATAGATCCCCGTGTACCCGGGCAGGTAAAGCTGGCTGAACCACCTGTACGGGCTGGAGTTTAAACATTGCTTTTCGATTGACAAGAAGGCGGCGTCTTGCCTCCCCCCACCTCTGTTGTGGAGCTGCAACAATGGCTGGGACTGCTTTAAATAAACTAGTGCACGGTTTTGGACATGACCACGGGGGCTTTTCGAGGAGTTAATGTGGTGTTATCATAACCGTGGACAGGGCAGGACGTGTTTGTAAATGGAGAAATCAAGTGGAGGACATTTTGTTCACGGCACATTTTGGAAAAAAGATGACGATGAGAACAACGCGACAAAACTTGCTACAACTTGCCACTAAGTGATGCCAAGTTGTTAACAAGTTTACATACGTTTTGGAAAGTTTCGTTACTCTTCAATTTCTTTTTTTTCTTTCGAGAACTGTGAAACATGAACAAAAGCTGTTTGTGTTTCTGTTTGTGGAAGTATTGACACTTCTGGATTGGATATTTTTTCTTCTCAAATTGACAGTGAACTGTCACCGAAATGATTTCTTTGTTTGGAATGTGAGGTTTAGAATGTGAAGTTTTAAATTGAGCAGATTGGAGCTGGGCGAATGGATTACACATACGTGGGATACAATGAGAGCTGAGCAAAGATTCTGTTCATTCTCGTCTCTTTGATCTTGTTGGATTTACTTATCTGATTAGCTGACCGCAAAGACATGTACACTATGGAACAGGAAAAGGTAAATACAATTTAAATACATTTTAACTTTCAAGTAACTCTAGCCTATATTTAGGGCTTAAACGGAGATTTAAAAACCTTAAAGGTATAAAAGAAAACTTCTTGGCATTTAGAGCTTAAAATATAATCCCAGGTAAAACAGGTCGGCTAAAAATGTAATTTGTTTTGATAACGTTTTTGTACGTGTTAAAGGGAGAAACCGCAACGTACTATATTGTGTTTCGTGTAATGGTTATGTGATCTGATGGCATAATTAACGTCGGGTAGTTCGCCATCATAAAGGTCCTCTCTCTGTTTCCTTACGCAATTATTAATGTGGGCTACATGGGCGGCCCGTTCTACCCTGCACCCCCAACGTTTGCTTGGTGGCTACTCATGGCTGCTATTTAATTTGTGCAGATAATTACCTCGTTTTGTCCACCTCACAAGGGAAATAGCGAACATTATCCCCCGATGCTACCATAACTAAAATATTCCAATAATAAATGTAGCCAAAACAAAACGTAATGTCCAAAAATTGGTAAGAGATCTTGTTCTATATATATTTTTAAATTACTACCCCAAAACGAAGTTTTGTTTAATTTATATATTTTTCCCTATGTTCGATAAAGCTTTAACTGAGACAAAAAATACTACTAACAGTATGGATGATCTCTGGACACTAGATCCGGCACTAATGGAAATTATCTATTTAAGCCGCGTAGTGCCAAGAAAAATAATTGCTGTATACTCGATCCAATACGAATAAGTTTTATAGACTACTATAAATAGAAGTAATTCTTCGACGCTAGTACTAAATATACATGTTGCTACTGGTACAGGTAGAAAAAATATTCGAGATTACAATCAGTAGAAACATTGTCGATACTACTAAGAATATACGAAAATTACTCAGATTTTAGAGAGATAGAGAGCAGAGATGTATTTTCACCAGGCTTATATATCTGTCTACACCAATTATATAATGTTTGGTTCATCAACGTCATTGATACTTTAGGAATTCCGTTAGTTAGACAACCAGCCCCTCCAATCCCCCGAAGAAAGTGTCTACCCCCCACCGAATGAAATATATACTTTTAACAGTGCCCCCCCCCCTCCCCTTGGAAGGGGTGACCGCACCGGGTGAAACCATTTAAAGGGGTGACCCCAAAACAAAAAAATAGCAAAAATATATACAGAAAAAAATGATAATTTCACTTAATTAGATGATTAATTAGACTGAATTAAATAGTCTTTTAAGAGCAAAGTGGACTAATTCCGACACTGGTGGAGAGGGGGGAGGGGGGTGATACCATGACGTAAACCTGCTAATGATATAGAAAACATGCAACATCCAGCTGTATACACGACCGAATATAGATACAAATCGTTAGTATTATCTGAGCACCGTTTAAAGCAATCACCGTGGGTTGACGGGGGGAGGGGGGGGGGGGTGGGGGGTATATCAACTCATCGTTGCAATATATATTCCTGCGGAAAACGGTTTGGTTGAGAATCGTAATAACCTATATTTGAATACATATACACATTCGTATACACATACTTACAAGTGACACCCGACATCGCTACGCCACTTTGAAAAACTTCTGTTTTCGGCGAAGTTTCGTTTTTCGCGTGTAATTGTTTAAACCTAGATTACATATCTTGCAACATTTTGTCTACGATTTAAAAAAAAAAGTATAAACACAGCACAATACTTATTATACCAACTGACGTTCATCTGTAATTTGTTTACGTAAACAAAGTTGGATGTCATAGAAGTTGGAATGGGAGAGGTTGGAGGTATGGAATGTTGGCATTTTTTTTTGCCATCATACCGAGCAGGATGTTCGAAAACTCGATGGGACACTTTAATTATTTTCTTGGTGCTAATTCTGTTTGACTGACGTGGCATGAAGCACACCATGACCTAATCTCCCATACCCACACGTGTGATAGGCATAACTTCAAACAATGTCATTACAGCTTGTTTGAAGAAATAGATTTATACATCCAAGTCTATTGTCGGGCAGCGCTGGAACTTGGGCACACTTTTATTTATAGCCATTGACGTGGATGTTATCGTGCACGTGCCAAGACTAGCACCTTTAACTGCACACTTGCACTTCTCGATTACTGGCGTCCATAATCTCACAGCTTCAGCACTGCTCTTTAAACACTGGGCTATTGTTTACATCATCGGCTTAGTTTATCAGAGTTCGAACCAATGGGATATGTAGGCCATAGCTATATACATATATATATGTATATATATATATATATATATATATATATATATATATATATATATATATATATATATATATATATATATATATATATATATATATATAATTCTATGTTTAGCAACAATAGGCTCTGCCAATTTCAACTGCTGCTGCTAAACATAGCGTTCGACTCCTAACCCGAAAGTCTCGAGTTCGGACCGCGTGCTCGAGTCCACCCAGCACTGATGGGTACCTGACTCACTTTAGGGAAAGTCAAGGTGGTTGGGCTTAGTGCTGACCCTTCATAAGCCGAGGTCACTGGAACGAGTGAACTCTATTTCACCTGCTCCATGGACCGTCAGCTTCGAAAGGATACTTAATTTGGTTTTGTTAAAATAAATTAAAACTCTGCTGCTATATGACCGTAAGCAGAAAATGAAAAAAAAAGAGCCGCTATTGCCCAGTCAAGGGCGATTCTTGAGTCCGTCCCGTCGTAGTTATAGACGAGAGTCACTCCCGGCGGCGTGGGCACTCCTGACCAACACCAGGATTGTTACTTTCACTTTCAGTCGGCGTGGAGTTAGTCCCTGTTCGTGTGTTGTCATTCAGACTACATTTCTTTTGTCTAATATAAAATGAAGATGACCCATATTTTGATCAAGTCAGGTCGACCTGGAATGGCTCACCTGTAATACACAGCGTATTATGTAGGTCGAACTGGTGCTTGTCAGATTTATTTATACCAACTACACACCTGCTGTTACTGATTCACACAAAGCGACATCTGGTTTACAATTGTCCCTGATATTTCTATTGGCCTTTGTTTTCTGACATTTTTATATTGTTTTAACATTGTAATTATTTCATTTCTACTCCTTTTTTGGGTGGATGCAATAATCGCTGGTTGGCGTGCTCGACACACATTAATTTATTTACGTATTTTGTTTCGTTGTTTAAAGCACAACACTAATACAAGATTGCAGTGGCGTAGCGAGGTCGGGTGTCACCCGGTGCGGCACTTAATGGTGTCACCCCCTCCCCCAGAGGCGTAGCGACCCTTCCCGGCGAAAAACTTTCAAGTTCTCGATTTGCACCCCCCCCCCCCTCAAACTTTCGATTTGCACCCCCCCCTCAAACTTTCGATTTGCACCCCCCCTCAAGTTTTTCTCTATATATTTTGCTATTTTTTGCCTTGGTGTCACCCCCCTAAATGGTGTCACCCGGTGCGGTCCGCACCCCCCGTCCCCCCTCGCTACGCCCCTGCAAGATTGCCTAAGATACAATTCCAAGATGGAACTTAATGCTACCGTGGAGGTTTCACCACATTGCTAGAGCCAGAATGAAAAGCTGTATTGTAGAGCAATGTGAAAACATTGTCCGTTTAACCCCCGTTTTATAATTGAACATTCACATGAATAAGCCTTGATATTCGATCGTTTAGCAGAGATTTAGAAATAATGGGAATAGCTCAACGACGAGATTTTTAAAATTATAATTATGAAAATTATTATTATTGTACACTAGTGATTGCAGTACTTTATACTTGAGGGAATTATTTTCTCATAAAGCGTTGATATAAAGTGTAATCTACAAAACACAAAATAACTTCATTATGTAAATCACATATGGCTACACGGCTTGTGGCATCAACCCGATATAAAAGCTGGTTTAAATGTTCCCCAATTTGTCTGGCCATCAGTTACGTCAGGCGGTTATTGAAGGTGATGACTAACAAACATTCCGGACTTTAAGAAAATTTGGCCTCCTGCCTTTAATGATTTCAAGCTATATTTACACTGAAATTCCACCCAGATCTCTCTTATTTCTCCAGCGTCCATTATCTCCCTCCCCCTCCCTCCCCCCACATTGTTGAGGTACACTTCCTCCTCTACAGGTGTCTACGACTGTATGGGAGACCAGGTTTTCACTTTCTCCCTTTATTTTCTTGCTCTATTTCCTTGGTTTTAAAGTAGGGGTCCATTTTGATGCAAGTTATGGTTCGTTTCAATGTGAAGCGTGCATCCCGTGTGTTGAACAGTACTGCTGGTGTAGCTTTACTTCACGTAGTGTGAGCTGGAGACCAGATATATATATATGACAGTTACCCATTGCTTTCTCATTTAGTTAGCCGTGCGCTCGAAAATTCACATGCACGACAAAAGATGTGGTAGCCATGGAAACAAATCCGTTTTTTGTTGTTCTGACATTGATTTCAACATCCCCATTTTCTGGCAGTGACAAGTCCCCTCCCCTCTCCACACACACACACACACACACACACACACACACACACACACACACACACACACACACACACACACACACACACACACACACACACACACACACACACACACACACACACACACACACGCACGCTGGTATTAGTCAGCGTGGACAGGACACGATGCAGTTGTATGAGAATCTCGCGCATAATCGCGTTTTTCTAATTAAAATTCAATTCCTATTTTGTTTTTTAAATTATTATGCGTTGTAAAAAATATAATTTTTTTTCATACAGAATGTGCGAATGTAAAAGGAGTCACGAAGTTATTTTTTCCTGTTTCGTAATTAATTGCCACATTTTATTGTCCACAATATTTTGATCCTTTTATTATACAAGATTTTGCTTAGGTCAAAATGTCTGTTTGCCTGTCTGTGGGTGGGTTTGTGTCAAATCTGGTAACTCAGTTTTGACCAAGATGAAGTGGCAGACTATAGATCTAGAACTACTCGTGTGAAGTCATTGTCACATGAAAATATTAGCGTCATGTTGCTAAACGCTTTTATTTGT